AAGCTCGAAGGAGGAGGTACACTCGTGCTGTCAGCTATGACAGCTTCTCCAACACCCAACTCTTCCAAGCCCAGCTGCTTCAACTCGAAAGTCTTCGCCGCCGCCTGAAACAAAATCGGCCATGCACTCTCTGGAATGGCGGCTTGCCACCATCCACCAACCAACTCCAGAGCCCACTGAAACAACACAGCCCCACTGAGGAGCTGATTGCGCACCGAGGAGGGGAGGCGTGAGATGAATTGAATCGCCCACGCCTCCTGGATGTAGATCTCCATCACCTTCGTGGTGATCCAGCGGCCACGCCGCCTTGTAAGCTCACTGTCTTCGCTTACCAGGAGGAGCCAGGAGGCTCCTCCTGCCCTCAAGGAGCCCAAGTCGATCTTCCAGCCGATGTCCTTAGGCAAACGGTCGAGGGAAAGCGCTTCAAGCAAACGCTGAAACCGGCAAGCCGTGCAACCTGATGACGTGCTGTCCTGAATCTCGTCTTTGGCTCCGAGATCTGTAGCATTGCAAACTTCACAGTCCAACCAACGTCTTCAGGCAAAATGAGGCTTTGCCGTGTAGCTTGTAGCACTTCCCCTATCCTGGTCAAACCACCCCAGGACAGGGCTAGGACCCCAGCAACTCGACTCCAGCCCCACATCCATGCTGTGACCAGCAGCGCCAAAAGCGCTTGCCATGGAAGAGCCAGGTGGTGGCTCGGCGGCTCCTGCCGGAGCCAACTGTAGGCAAGGCCCCATGCTGGCTGCAAGGATCTCCTAATCCGTGGACGCTTGGCCGAGACAGCATTCAATGTCTCGGAGTAGTGACCGTAAGGTCGTCCTGATCTAAAGAGCTCGCGACCATACTTTTCCAGCAAAATGTTCAGGGCCTCAACATCAGGGGCCGCGCACATGAGCAGCTCATCCAAGGCCATCAAGCCAACTAGAAAAAGCAGCCAGCAACTTATCACGGTGCTTTTGGGTCGCCGGCAGGACTGGACGTCCCTGTGGCAACTCAAGCTCACCTCTTCCTTCAGCCCGTCACGAGGCACCAGTGTCGGGCCATGGCGCACCGCATGAACACTAGCTACATCGGGGCAGCTCATCCAGACCAGAATTCCCAAAAACCTTTTAGGGGTCCAACCAGGGGGGAAGGAGAAGGAAGTGCCGGAGTGAAGCCTTCGGAAGACAGGCTGTTTGCGCTTGGCTTTCTTGAGCTGACCGTGAGGGCTCGGCCAGCAGGACAAGGAGCACAAAGTTGCAAAGAAGCAAAGTCCAATGATGAGAGGAAACCATGGAGCTGAGTGTGCACTAAAGTCCAAGTCCAGGCACAGAGGAAACCTAAATCCAGGCCATCCCCTCAACAAAGTCCGTAAAATCCAAATGGCTCCAATGACAGTGAGGCGCCAGAGCAAATGATCACCTCCTCCAACTCCAAAAGGTGGAAACCCCAAGGTTGCATCAAAGTCTGCAATGGGAGAGCATCCAGCTTGTGTATCCTTGAAAGGGTAGTGTAGTGCTTGAAGTGGACATGGGCATACCTCCATGAGTCATCATCTGACCACCATGCCGGAAAGCGGTCAAAAAGAAGAAGCACGAGCCGGCACCAATTCGATGCCAGGCGCTTGATGCCCGATAGCTTTTGTACTTGGATGTAGTCCTCAAAGCTGGCCTCCGGAGGGACCAAACTGCAACATTGATCAGGGAAATCATGGTCACGAGTCGGATGGTCGGCTGGCAGCCAACGAGTGGGCCCAAAATGGTAGCCCGGGTAGAGGTTCCCTGCCACAATGGTTGAGCCACATCTTCTCACAAACTTTCTCAACCCTCTTGAAGGAGATCTCCCTTTGACCAAAGCTGAGAGGCCAACATTTGAATCCATGATGACAGGAAACCGAGTGGAAGGGTGGCATATGGCCTCCTGCTTCATCAAACGTTCTGCTGCTTGGATCTCCTGGATGTTGATGTGGGAAGGCCTTTTCCATCTCCAGACCTTCTGAGTGTGCCAGTGGTTCGACAGCATAACATCGTTCACTAACACATTCTCAAGTCCTTCAACCTCAGGCTCCTTCTCGGCAAGATCGGTCAGCTTGGCATGAAGGGCACAGTGGAAAACCCTCCCAATGGCGAAGGCAAGCTCGTCAGTGTAAGTGGCAGAAGGCTTTGTCCATTTTCCCTCAATCTTGATGTGTTGAGAGCCATCGCACTTTCTGTGAAGGCCGGAGGCATCAAAGGCCGCAACCAAGAAAATGAACTCTTTGAGGTGGGTGCTGCCATACATGCAAGAAGCACACCACACTTCCTCACATAGGCCGTTGGCAGTCAAAAATTGCCACTCCGCTAACTTCCTCATCTTTGATCTCCGTGGTTGTTCCAGCAATCCAGGGATCCTGTAGGTGGCAGCCACCTTCATCAAGGTCAGAGCACGAAGAGCCAGTGTGGTGCCCAACAGTGTCTTTGGATCATCTGGCTCAAAGCCTCGTGGGCATGAGTAGCTGCGAGAGGGAGGGTACTGAGCGGGACTGAAAGTAGCGCACGGAGGCTCGACCATGAAAGAGTCCAACCTGCCCTCCTCGATCATGAAAAGAATCCACTCCAAAACGCGCAGCAATGCCAGATTGTATGCAGGGGATCTATCGAGGTCAATGACAGGCCCAACCACCCAACCATAGGCGGCAACTTCAGAACTGACTTTCCCAGCGCCCCTACAAATCTCGATGAAGTGGAAGCGGAAAGCACAAGGTCTCTCAGCCTCTATAGCCTCATAGGGAAGGCCATCATCTTGCCCATCAAGCTCCTCAAAGAACCAGTCAATCTTCTTCAGAACCGCTTCGTGTCTCTTGAGCATCCTGGTGTAGGAAGACTTTCTGCGACTGGTCCTGAGGAGAGCCCTTGCCACCAAACTCCTTGAAATCTTGCAAGCAACGACTGCTCCTTTTGCATCGGACGAGTCAGTAGAATAGCAAGCTTCTTGAACCTCTGCAGAGATATCGGCGCTGATGAACGGACAAAGGACAGCCAGCATCACCAGCTCCTCAGCCATAGGTCTGGGCAAAGGTTGACCTTAGGCTCATTCTGGTCAACATCAGACATAGGAACTGAATAAACTTATGAAAAAATGGCAGCCTGGGACTGTGGGCAGTAAAATTAACTATTTTTGGGATATTTTATCATTTTGGTTATAACCGATATTATCTCTGGAATTATCATATGTTTTGGTGAGCCAATTTGTTTTTCATTTTGGTTTTCATGAACATTATCATTGGAATTATCACTTTCTAAGGCTGATTCTAAGGCGTTCCACCACTAACAATCGCTGCTCTTGGTTCAGGCGCTCACACCAAGCAGTGTAGAATGTTGGGGTGAGGCCATGGAAGACGAGTGGGATCAGTTGTTCCACAACCACGGTTGCTCAGCAGCCACCTGACAAGTCCGATGCTGCTCAATCAATCCCGCCAGACACAAGTTCAGAAAAATCATTCACAGAGGCTTTAGAACGCACACTTTCTGAAGATGATGATTGGGACGAGGCTTTTCAGAAAGAGATTCAGGTGTCACAAGAAGAAGAGAACGAAGTGGAGGAAACATGTGGGTTGAGAGCAGAAAGCGAGTCAGAGTCTGGGGCGAGTAGTAGCAGCACTAGTGGGTCTTCGTTGCGTTTTTTGACAACCTGGTGGGCTCAAACCTTATTCAAGGCCGTGACAGGTCTGCAGCTTTCGTGGCCACGAAAGCGCAGCAGCCCGCTTAGGGTGATCAGCGGATGCACGGGCTGCTCTGCGGAAGCAGCTGTTCTGAAGGCGTGGGGTATGGGGGGCACGATGCATGACACCATGAGATTCCAACTATAGTAACTATAGGTCTTGGATGGTCTCAGGAAACAAGATTTATGGCCAACAGTTGCTCAATCGGAGTTCTACATTCAACATTCTAGATTCTTAGAGTCTTAGACTGTATGTTGGACATGAACAGAGTGTAAATGGTAGGTAAGTGTAGTCAGGCAGAGTTTCAATTGTCACTCTAGACTCTACACTACACTCTGGGCATCTCTGGGCTCTAGAGAAGTGTATAGTCTAGTCTAGACTCATAGCGCTGTGCCACGGGAGGCGTTGGGCGTGGACTTTACCATACTCTCTGCCTCTGAAATTAGCAAGAGCTACAGGGATTTTTGTGAAGCGAACTACCCTGGACGCATTGACCACTTTTTTGAATCCATCGAAGACCAGATCCGTACTGGCAAACCCTGTGCTACCTGCTCTGCTTCTTTGATGGGTGATGTTTTGGCATGTGGTCCAGATGAGGTCTTGCGACAACGGGGTCTAGAGGTTGACATCCTCATGACTGGGTCACCATGTGACCCATTCTCTACACAAAGAAACAAACGTTTCGCGAATGGAGGGCCTACCACGCACTACTTGTTTGATGTCACCATGCAAAGGGTCATTGACTTTTATGCACGGTATGAACCACAGCGAGGAATATTTGAACAGGTATGGGGCTTTTGCATGCCATTTGAGAAAGGTGGCAAGGAAGTTCCCAAGGATAGGTCCCTCGGCTGATATTTTCATACTGGCCTCATAGGCCATAGGGTCATAGGGCCAGGGCATAGGGCTAGGGTCACTGCTAGGGTCATAG